GATCCTTGTTTCCTGTAATGGTTTGACAGCCAGAGACCCAAAGAATCCAGGCCTTTAGTACAAACTTAGAGAACATTCAGTCCAACTGAGTGTCACTGGAAGTCCTACTAAAACAAGTGCTATACTGAGCAGTACCAAAAGAGTCGATTGCTCTACAGGAAGATATTAAACACACTCCAGTATAAATGTGCAGTAGTGTTTTACCCAGAAAAAAAACAAATAAAGAATGAAAAACATGGGGTTTTTTTTTTTTTTACCATAACTTACATGATTTGCAATTAAAGGGAAATTCCTAACCAGTGAGACATTGTCTCCTTCCAAAATGTCAGTCTGTCTAAAGCTGTCTGACATATTGCAACTCTTCCCAAATAACTGTGTATGCTAAGCACACTGTGTCAAGAAGCCTGATCCAAAGACTTGATTTATGTTGCTACCTGATAGATGATGTCTGGAAGGCCTGCTGTCTAAATGGACTGCACTGGGGCAGTTACCTTAGTCATCAATTCTCAGAGAATTAATGGGTACCATTCATCCCAAGAATAGAAACCAAGGTCAGGGCCTCTTCCATGCTCTGTAATTCCATTAGCAATGCACAGAAAGCACTTAGGTCGTAAGCTCTCTCAACCTTATAACTGAGCAAATGGAACTGCATCTTGTTTTCAGGGAGAATCCTCTCTGAGCACACCCCTTGTCAGTGATTTGTTGTACATCAGCATTCGATGTGCTAACATGTGTACGGAAAATGCTGGTAAAAGAAAAGTGAGGCTGTCTTCAGCTGCCAAGCATTCCAAATAAATGCCAATAGAAAACAATTTTATTAAAACTATATTGGGGCTCTGGCTGGTTTGGCTTGGTGGATAGAGTGTTGGCCTGTCTACTGAAGGGTCCCAAGTTCTATTTCAGTCAAGGGCATATGCTGGGTTGTGGGCTCCATCCCCAATAGGGAGCGTGCAGGAGGCAGCCAATCAATGATTTTCTCATCATTGATGTGTTTCTTTCTCTCTCTCTCTCTCTCTCTCTCTCTCTCTCTCTCTCTCTCTCTCTCTCTCCCCCCCCCCCCCTCCTCTCTAACATCAATAAAAAGACATTTTTTTAAAAAAGCTATATTGGGTACTTCCAGTTGTGGACATACACTTTTAAATTGTGTACTCATTCAGATTTTATGTAAGCACTCAATCATTCTCTGTGAGTACCAGGGAATTCATTTCCGTTATCACTCTTTTACTTGTTTTTTTATTCTACCTACCCTAATAAAATCTAAATGGCCTTGAACCTAAGAGTGATCATGGTAAGCAAATAAGTCTGTTTACAATTAACTCTGAAAACCTCAAGCAGCATGCTTTTCTAAGCTAAGGCTCACAAGTAATTTCCTCACTCCTCTTAATTCAAATTGCCTTCAACCTGTCACATATCCAAAAAAGAAGAGTAACGGCAAAGTTTGAATCCTGGCTTTGATACCTATTTGTTTTCTTAACAATAAAATAAATATGATTATTACTCTTTTACAGCTACTTCACACATTGTTCTAAGGATTTAAAATAAATGCTTAGCACAATGCTTGGAAATTAACAAATGATAACCTATTTTTGTTTTTATTATGTTGAGCACATAAAACTGTGTGATTTTGTGATAGTGTATGTGAGAGCTTTGTTTTGAAACATTGGGGGTTTTATGGGCAGTAGATTCTAAGTGATCTACAGTAATGGAGGGGAGCAGAGGCATGAATAATTCAAAACAGCAAATCACCCAAATACGATTTGTATGTAGCTTTAAACTGTATTTTTATTTCAAATGTGAGACCAAAGAAATGACTTCAAATAAAGGAATGGCAATATGGTATAAAGTCCTAACTAAAAGGGCTCTGAGGAGCTGCCCAGTTTTCCTGGCCCTTCCTCTGGTCTCCCCTCCAATTCTCTCTCCTCCAATTCTCTCCGCATCCTCTCGACTCCGTCCCCTCCACTCCCCCCTTCACCTCCTCACACCTGCCTGTCAGAAGCCAGCTGCTGCAAACATCTGAATCAAGCCAAGATCCTGCCTCCCACTTCCTCTGAATCTAGGTCACTGGTGAAGTGTCTGAGATTCCCTGTTCAGAGGCAAGATGCAGTCACCAAGTAAAAGTATCAGGTGCTCCGGAAGCACATGCTCTGGAGGAGGTAGAAGACCATCAAGAGAGTCAGTGCAGTCCTTCCATTACCAGCACAGGCGATGGAATCTGATGGCCTGGGAGTCCTAGTCCTGTGGGCCTATATGATCGGGGCCACATTGCTAATCACTTTATGCCTCTGTTTTGTTTCCACTGTAAACTTACAATGATAATGCTATCAGGTATTTCACATGATTTGTTAAGATTAACATGCATTCGCTCTGGTGTGTGTGTGGGGAAGGGGGGGTGTGCATAATGAAGAGGTCTGTATTATACTGATTTCCCTTTGAGTAACAAACATTAACTCACAAGTTGGTGTTTCCTACAGAAACCTGCAACATCTTTTTTGTTTTTTGTTTTTTGGGTATTTTTGGTTTTTGTTGTGTGTGGTTTTTTGTTTGTGTGTGTGTGTGTGTGTGTGTGTGTGTGTGTGTGTGTGTTTGGTTTGTTTGTGGTTTTTGTGTGTGTGTTTTTGTGTGTGTTTTTGAGAAACCAGAGGAAAACAAACAGGAGTCTTGGCCTCATCTAGTGTCTATATAATCCACAAACATATCTCTATTTCCCATATGAAGCAATTTTCCTGGTTGATGCTTAGGGGCTATTGCTCTGTATTAAGCAAGTGTTGCTTTGGTTTTAGCAGTATCACAGGTTTATCCCTTGTAGAAGGAGTTAAAGCTGGTGCCTACACACAAGCACAAGACACATCAATAGTGATACCAGAAACATAAAAAAGATAATAGTGCCCTGACTGGTTTGGCTCAGTGGATAGAGCATCTGCCTGCAGACTGAAGGGTCCCAGGTTCAATTCTGGTCAAGGGCATGTACCTTGGTTGTGGGCACATTCCCAGTAAGGGATGTTGCAGGAGGCAACTGATCGATGCTTCTCTCTCATCAATGTTTCTAACTCTCTATCCCTCTCCCTTCCTCTCTGTTAAAAAAAATCAATAAAATATATTTTTAAAAGATAATAGATATAAAAAGAATTAAAGAAAACTTAATACTGATAAGTCAAGTCTTATGTGCCAGGCACTGTTCTAGTCACTTCACGTATGATAATTTATTTAATTCTCAGAATCAACCTGTGAGGTAGGTAATATTGCAATTTTAGTGTTGAAAAACAGAAACTGGGAGAAGTCGGGAAACTTTGCAAAGCTCACTGGACACAACAACATGCACATTATAGTCGAAGAAACCAGATCATTCATTGACTGTCCCAGGACACTATTAAATATGAAAGGGGACAAAAGCAGAAATGAAAGTTCATTCTCATTATAGTTGAAGATGAAACAACTTGTCACTGAAAAAAAAATAGGTCAATAAATGAGCTCTTATTACATTTCTCCTAGAATTAGATTCTAAGATGATCATGAATATGCTTTAGGTAAGGTGTTCTGAACTAAAACCACTGGTGCTTGTGGTAAATAAAAATGTGGTTGTGGTTGAGCCTCCAACATACTGAGTTTCATTTCAGAGACACAGGTTCAGCCAACGTTGCAATGGGCTATCTGTAACCTTTCACAATAGAAATACGACCAAGGTGTTGGTTCATTAACTCACTGATTGTCCTTCCTTACCATGGTTATTAGCTGATGTTCTGCTTTCACTGTAACACATACGTTAAATTGGGAATTCAAGGAATAGTCACCCCAGAGCATAATGAATAGGGTAGTGTCCCTTTGCCTCTTTATGCAAATTAAATCAATACCTGACTTCCATGGGGAGAGCAACACAACAGAGTCCTTGACCGTGATATCCTGGCTGGGGCTCCCTGTCTTGAAAAAAGAAAGGAAAGGGAACAGGTTTCTAGACTGTAAGCTCCTTCGGGGAGGTTATAGGCACGCTGTGTACCATTGATATCTGACCCCAGCTAGCTACCCTAACATTGACAGGAACAAAAGTCACCCTGCTAGAAAAATCATACAATCATAAATACCCATTTTAGTGGGTTAGTAGCTTAAACATTAGAGAGCATCTTAGGGTCAATGGAGTGTTCATTGTTGTTTAGTTGGCAGAGTTGGCTCTTTTTTTTTTTTTCTTTCTTGCATATAAAGTAAAGGTGTGCCGTGCCATCGATGGCACCTTAGATTTGATGAAATACATTGTGTATCAGGTGTTAGCAAGATCTCAGCCCTACTTAATAAATTAAACCAGAAAGAAGAGAGAGGCAAGATTTTAAAACTGCATCAACCTTTAAACTAAAGATTAATGGTTGAATGAGGAGTTGGTAATAACTTCTTCACCAGCCTGCCACAGCCCATATTTAAATATATATATTTATATGCTTTCTGTAACCTTTCACAATAGAAGCACGGCCTCTCCTGTTTTCTCCTCTCTGCAAAACGGAAAAGGATAAGCATTAAATCCCTGGCACTTACTGTATCTTCCTGAAACTGTGTATCATTGACTAGAGTGTGAGCTCCATAGGCACAGTGTTTTATGCCTATGATTCCCAAAATTCTGCATGTATTGGAATCTCCACAGGAGATATTTAAACATTCATGATCTTTACCTCCTGCTTGGACATCCCGATTCACAAAGTCCGAATTAAGGCCCAAAGAGCCATGTTTTTAATCCGGGGGGGGAGGGGGGGGAGTCTGATACACCCCGAAGTTGGAGAAGCCCTGGTCCGTGTGTTGGGAGTTGACCTGTCGCTGCAAAGCACTTGAATTTAAAAACTCTGACCTCAGTGGTAGGCACAGGACCACATTTGACAGGCATGATTATGATTTCAAAAGGCAAATATATTGACGCAAGAAGAAAATCTGATACTACATTGCTTCCTGAGGGACTGGGACTCTACACTAAAGCAAGCATTGGTACTGCCTCTGATATCTGTTTCTGTTTGGAATATCTTCAGCTGTGCCCCATAAGATCGGACGCATCATTGATGGGAGTCCTGCAGATCGCTGTGCGAAGCTCAAAGTGGGAGACCGGATCTTGGCGGTGAACGGCCAGTCTATCATCAACATGCCTCACGCAGACATCGTGAAGCTGATCAAGGACGCGGGTCTCAGTGTCACTCTTCGCATCATTCCTCAGGAGGGTGAGTCCCCGAGCCACCTGACTGCCATCTGAGTGGTGTCAGAGGGTCAGAAATTGAGAGTTACTCCTACCGTGGCAAAAATTCGCATTCCGTTGCAACTCATATCCTGTTTACTCAGTACCAGTTTCACTCGGAGATCAAGCTATGGGACATTATGGATACACAGTGTGAGTCCCATGACAATGGAACATTCTATCGTTCCCTGTTGTCCTCCGAGTGCTGTTTTATGGGTACAGTAAGCCAGAACCCATTCAACAGAGATGATAGAGTCACAAATCTAAAGAAGACAAAAACAACATGCGTTCATGTTAGCAGTGAAGCTCTGGAGGATTCTTCTTCAAAGTCAGATTGATTTTGAAAAGCTTGAGGAAGTTTTGTGGTATCAAGACAGCTCATTTAGAAAATGTGTCATCTGATAAGAATTTAAATTCCCACTTAGCCTTTTACAGGTCTCTGTACAAGGACTCCCCCCTGAGGCTGGAAGAGTAGTGAGCACCCGGACACACAGCCATGCCTTAAGGGGCCACAAACTTCACCATAAATTCACTATTTCTGAAGATTGTGTGTTCATGACTAGTTTATAGCTGCTGGCTCATCACTGATGGTCAAGAATTCAGTCCCTGGAGCTCACTGCTGAGTGAGCATCCCACATGGAGAGTGAGGCATAGTGATGGACTCACACATCTTGATCCCCTCAGTTTTATTCATTCTCCTGATTTCATCTTGGGATTATGACAAGCAGGCATCAAACAGCTTCCTGGCTTTAAATATTAAACAGATGTTCTCAACTCAGGTGATTTTGTTTTCCCAGGGAGCTTTTAGCAATATTATTTGAAGACATTTTTTATTGTCATGATTGAGGTAGGGATGTTACTGGCATCCAGTGGATAGAGGGCAGAGATGATATTAGCCTAGGACTGGCCTCACAGCAAACAATTATCTGGCCCAAGATGTCCATCGTGCCAAGGTTGGGAAACTGATACAAGGGGAGAAGAAATTTAAAGTTTGGGACTGTGAGAAAAAGAAAGGGGAAGACTGGTTTGTAAGGAAATCCTAACAGTCACCTCCCTTTTATCACTCAATGGTGCAGACACCATTATGTATACAATAGTCAATGGGAATTAACTCTAAGCAAAATTTCTCACTAAAACCGGACTTCTCCATTTTCCCAGTCTGAAATTCCTGCTCTTATTCCTACATAGAGGAATAATTTCAGTTGAAAATTTGATGCTATTACAAGAAATTTCAAGAAGCAGTTTTAACAAACAACTTAATTTCCCCTACTTTGTCCAATGGTTGTTTGTTTTAGCTTTGGGGTGTTTTTACTCTTTCTGGAGAACCATGGGATACAGAGGGTTATCAAGTAATAAGATTAACAAGGAACTGGAACGAAGAAAGCTCTTACATTCATTATGGTAGTTCCTTATCCAGACTTTGACATACTGGTAAGATTTCTCACTACAACCAAAAAATAGTGGCTAAACATTTTCTGTCTAAGTAGAAAAATAGTATATATTTTAGAGCCTACTCCTTTGAATTCTTTTTCATAGTTTTAACAGGTTTTTAAATTGTAATCTTTTCTTCTGACATGACAGGAGACTCTGTTCATAACCTTGTTCAGCAACTCTTATAATTAAGAAAATCATACTGATTCTGGGAGTGGTATTGGAACTGGACACGGGTAAGCTGTCATCTTAAGCCCAACAGAAACTGAAACAACCAAAGCCTTGAGTCACCTGAGGAGGCAAAGAGTACTCACCTCCGGTCACCTCTGCCCTTCATCAGTGTCAACCTGACCACATCTGTGACTTTGGTCCTATTTCAGAGCTCAACAGCCCCACCTCGGCACCCAGCTCCGAGAAGCAGAGCCCCATGGCCCAGCAGCACAGCCCCCTGGCCCAGCAGAGTCCTCTGGCCCAGCCAAGCCCAGCCACCCCCAACAGCCCTGTCACCCAGCCAGCTCCTCCTCAGCCACTGCAGCTACAAGGACATGAAAATAGGTAACATTTCCTCTGGCTTTTCTGATTCTGAGGTGGGGGGGAGGGGGGTTTGGAATTGAGGACAAGACAAGACACAGGCAGGAGAGAGATTTTATTGAAATGGAAATTGCCATGTGGACTGTCCTGTGATTTTGAGATTGTATGTGTGTCAGAAATGGTGTCCTGTCCTGCCCAGCAAGAGAACTTTTCCTGAAGAAATGATGAGCGGTTGCAGGTGAGTAGGGATTAACACTCTGAAGAGCACATTAGAGATCCCAGGCAGCATGAAGAGCATGTACCAAGGCCCTTTAGGAGGAGGGAGCTGTCAGGCTTGGAGGGAAATGGGGCCAATGTAGGGAGGCAGAGGGGAGGAGAGTGGTTTGAGATGAAGCCAGTGAGGGTGGGAGGGGCTTGCCCTACAGGGTCTTGTAGGCATGCTAAAGATTTTTATCTTAAGGATATTGAGATGTTCTTAGGGGGTTAAGCTGAGGACTGAAATAATTTGGTTTGCTTTTCAAGATCTCTCAGTAGACCCCCAGAGAGAACAGACCGAAGGCTGGTCAGAGTGAATGCAGGTTAAGCAGGCAGAGATGGCTGCCAATGTCCGTAAAGGTAGTGGCCCAGAGAGTACAGATTCTGGAGAAGGATACAGTTGAAGGATTTGTAAGCATAATAAATGTTAGCATTTTTACCGCATTTGACCTTATATCCTCCTACTCAGGATCTAATTAATTTCATCCATTTCACATTATTCACGAATATAAATAAGGCACTTCAAACTTTCAGGAAGGAAAAAAAAAAAAGGATGCCATATAAAACACACGTTATTTTTTTTTTAATTGGGGCGACATTGGTTAATAAAATTTATAGGTTTCAGGTGTACAATTCTATAAGAAATTATCTGTATTTTGTATTGTGTGTTCACCACCCCCTGGCAAGTCTCCTTCTATCACCACTTACCTCCCCCTCCTTCATTTCCCTCTGGTAATCACCATGCTGTTAGTGTCAATGAGTTTTCTGGGGTTTTTTCCTCAATCCCTTTACCTTTTTCAGCCACATTATCTTCTTACTGTGGCTTGGGTGTACCCTGGGTTAGGTTGAGCCAGTAAAGAGGGATGAAGACTTGTTCCCATTGTTTTCCCCTTTCGAATGAGAAAAATAGAAGAGCCCGTGGGAACATCTCTGAAAACAAAACCCTCTCAGGTCGTTTCCATCATTCTAATGTTTTCTGAGCATCTGCGTCCCATCTTCTGCCTCCCGTGATGGTGGAGATGAAGTGAGACCCAGTTTTTGAGTCCCAGTACTCTAGGTTCATCGCTCGTACTGTTTCAAAGCCAATAGTTTCCCTCTGCCACAGGTGTTATTTCCATCAAGCCCTGTTCTATCCTGATTTCCCCTGTTGGCCTTCATAGAAAAGTAAATGTTGTCCTCAACTGTTTATGGTGTTAATATATTCTACAGAAGTAAAAAGACTAAGCCCCATAAGGCAATTCGTACCGAGGTAAGAATCTGATGATCCAGAAGAGGAGTAAGTCCTGGGTGCCTCAGTAATAAGCCCCAGATGTGTTCACTTTCACCAGATGTTGTTTCGATGGATTGCACTGGTTCTCCCCAGGACTCATTCCAGACTCCAGAGGTGGGATCTGAGCGCTCCAGCAGTTGCTGAGCCAGATTCAGACTCTAGGTTCTGCCACTCTTGATTTACCTTCCAGCCACAATGCCACCTTAACCTCTGCAGAGTCAGACTGGACTGGAGATGGGCTCTTGCTTCCAGCCTTGGGGTGGGTAAATCAAAGGATGTGATAGCTCAATGGAAGGCCACTATTTGGTCCCCACCCATCTGCTACTAGCTCACAATGGTCTTTGGATATATTTTTGCCTGACTACAGAATAATATATTTTCTCATTCTAGGATTAATAGATTGATCTGACCCAATTTTTTATAAATCACTGAAAATTTTGCCCAGAGCTCTTAGCTGTTTCTGCTTCAATAATATTAAAACCCTGGAAAGTGCCCACTCCTGCCACTCAAGATTCCTGGCTTAACTCTGATTGTTAGTGAGTAGCTAATTTGCATATGAATGAGGAGATGCAACAATCTTGCAGATACCAGCACCATTTTTCTAGCTGCATTTAAAGATGATTGTGGTATCAGGGGAAAGATTGCCTTTTTCTAGGCTGGGGACAGCTTGTATGCCAAGTGCACAGTATGGATTTCCTATCAGTTCATTTGTACAAGAAGTGCCCACCTACATGTCAAATTGAGCCAGTTCCCATGTTAAAGTGGGGTCAAATAAAATGATAATCTACTTGCAAAGTTTTATTTTGTGAGTTAGAGTGAGGTATTATTTTGTCCTATCTTATTTACTCTTGGCTCCCAACTGACACCCTACACACCTCTACCCATTTCTCTGTCCCTTCACATCCTTTTTGGTTTTGCTCAGGAAACACAAAATAATCTATATATACAAAAGGCTAATATGCTAAGTGTCCCTCTGCCCATCTGACTGGTCGCTGTGACACACCCTGACCACCAGGGGGCAGACGTTCAATGCAGGAGCTGCAGTGACTTGGCAGTGGTGGTTCTCAGGTGATGCACCTTGAAACCAAAGAGGAGGGAGTCTGGTTTCTCGTGGGGCCCTGAAATTCCACCTTTCGCCATGGATTTGGTTGTTTCTGGGGCACTGTCGGCCCTGAATCTGGTTTACTGCACACTTGCATTTGTGTTCCACACCCTGTACTACAGCAACTTTGCCGAGTGCCCTCTAGCACTCTGGGACCCCTAGTGGGATGTTGAAGAGCTGGTTTTGGTCCAATCCCAAGGGGTCCCAGATTGGAGAGGGTGCAGCCTGGACTGAGGTGAACACCTCCCACCCCCCTCACCCCCTGTGCACAATTTTCATGCACCAGGCCTCTAGTTTTATATAAAATTGTTTTTGTATAGAATGTATTCTTTTACTTTTTAACTTTATTTTTGTCATTGACACATAAATGTCCCCATTTACAACTCCCCTTTTCCCACCTCCACCCAACCCCTGCCCCTCCACTTTCCTCTCACCACATTGTTGTATGTGTCTATGTGTCATGCCTAAATGTTCTTTGGCTAATCCCTTCACCTTCTTTCATCTAGTCTTCCCTTCCCCCTTCCCATCTGACAGCTGTCAGTTTGTTCCATGTATCCATGCCTCTGTTTCTATTTTGCTTGTCAGTTTATTTTGTTCATTAGAGTCCACATATAATTGAGATCATATGGTATTCGTCTTTCTCTGACTGGTTTTTGTATTTTTTCAATCTACCTATATCCCTAAGTAGCTTATTATAGATTTTCTGTGGCAATAGATAAAGAACTACAGTATTAAGTATTCCTCTATACTATGGTGATAATTTTTTAGATTACCTTATTCATGGTTGGTACAAGCTATTTTAGTCCCCTTTTGGAACTGGAAATCCTCTCAGTTTAGAGCAGTTTGGATTCACAGAACAGTGCTAAACAACTAGTTCTGGTTTCTGTATTTTATTAGTAAATAATTTCTAGAAACAAGAAAGGGACAAAGGTTAAGCATAAACATTTTTGCCTTTTCTTCCATTTTATGACCATGATGGTATCTGATACTTATCTGATAGCTATAGTCTAGTATTCAAATGCTACACAATATGTGTCTATTCTTAACAATGACCCCATGACTTTCTACTTGATTTGTAGTTGGTGAGGATACCTTACTATCTCTCCTCTGTAATATTGAAAAAGAACAAACCTAACTGGGTAAAATAGCCTTTAATTATGTACTTGTGGAGTATTTTGAGATCATGTACGTTGTGTTTTCATGAAGTAGTGGTCTGACAAGATGTATATATGTGTGAGAGAGAAACAGAGAAACAGGGAGAGTTGGTTTACTGGTGTTAAGACAGACTGCATAGTTAAGTATTTAATCCCTTGGACTTGTGCAGTTGTAGTTTTTACATAGTCAAATCAAAAAGGGCGATCCATAAGTCCTTCTCCACAAAGCTGTGGTTGAACCATCATTTTCACCTTGATATCGTAAGGAGCCAAATGGAAAGTATGCAATATGGTATGTGTTAAATATTGAAAAATATTATTCGCTTAATCTTATCATAATTCTGAACATGCAAAAACATCACCAAGAAGAATCATTTGATCATTCTACCTCCTTAGAATACTGAGATACCAAAGTAAATCCCATTTCCATTTATTTAGTTACAGGTCAGAAGTAAAAGCAAGACAAGATGTGAAACCAGACATCCGACAGCCTCCATTCACGGACTACAGGCAGCCCCCCCTGGACTACAGGCAGCCCCCAGGGGGGGACTACCAGCAACCCCCACCCTTGGACTACAGGCAACCTCCCCTGCTGGACTACAGGCAGCACTCCCCCGACACCAGGCAGTACCCTCTGTCAGACTACAGGCAGCCCCAGGTACCTCGGCCAATGAGATCATCGCAGGCCCGGGACCAAGACTTCCTGAAGTACAAAAAAATGAAATAGAATGGGAGGCAGAGGAAAGAACACCCTTCTGGGATAGACAGCCCAAGTTCTATTCCTAGTTATGATATCATCTGGGTAACACCCACATCCTCAAAGCACTCTGAATAAATAAATCTTTTTCAGAATAAAACAGGACAATCAATCAATCAGTGGGTGAGTGGTAATGGGATGCACTAATTCCTGCTAATATTAGCTAACTAATTCCCAGTATATTGTCTTGTCAAAGTTGAAAAAAAAGCTCTTATCTGGAATCTCTAATACAGATAATGCAGAAATTTTACAGATGTCAGCAATGGTATTTTACACCCATAATTATTTACATAGCCCTCTACCTCCCATTTGGTGGGAAAGGGCCAAGTCCTTATGCATGAAGACAAGGCCAAGCCTGGCTTCATCAGCCAGCCTGCAACCTCTGTCACAAGCACCCAGTCTCTGTCTACATAACACTGGTTCTTATAATTACTTGTCCATATGAGATGTGCCTTATAGTAACTTCCATAACCACTCTGAGCTTCGTTTTCTTAAAAAGAGGGTCTTCCTTGCAGACTATGGTGAGGATTCTACTTTTTAATGAAAAGCACTTAGACCAGAGTGTGGTATCAAATAAATATTCAACTAGATAACAAGATACAGATTAACTACAATTTCAATTAATTGTGTTTCATGTAGGATTAAAGATCACCTTTTTCTCCCTCAAATTTTAAGAACACTGAAGGTCAGGAAACCTTGGACAAACTGCATTTTATGTAAAAGACAAATTGATTGTCTACGCTCCAACTTGATATTCAGTAGTTTGTACACAGAGTTGTAGTGAGACCCCCATTAAAATTTATTTTTCTAATTAGCAAACCTCTAGCTTACACACATACACATATGCACATACACAAGACTGGAACATTTATAATATTTATACAGCTCCATAGCACTGAATGAGAACACTCGAAGAAAGAACATTGTCCAGGCCTATATGCAGTAATTACATGTTAACCAAGTAAACTGATGAACATCAATGTAAACAAGCTAATGACCAAGTAAATTGTGTACTGATCTGCTCAAACCTTTGGAACTTGGTCTTGCATTCTGCCTGACAGTGAGGTCAGATTGCGTCTCACATCACAACTTATTTGGAACACATTATAGGAGAGAGAAGAACAGAGAGATTGAATACAGAAGCTTCTTTGATATTAAACCATTGTTTATTCCATTTTTCTCCTGGCCCCAAAGGATTTCGATTATTTCACCGTGGACATGGAGAAAGGAGCCAAAGGATTTGGGTTCAGCATTCGTGGAGGAAGGGAATATAAAATGGATTTGTTCGTGTTGAGACTGGCAGAAGACGGGCCGGCAATAAGGAATGGAAGGATGAGGGTAAGAACAGTCCTTTTTATAGAATTGCTTAGTTCTGGAAGAAACCCATGGTGGCATTAGGAGAGCACTGAAGCATGCTATTCAACAAACAGATGATGTAGTTTTTACCTCCTTTCATTTCATGACCCAATTTTCTGAAGTTTGACCAAAAGTTACATAAAAATTTGACCACTTATTTTCCTGCTTATAGCCTTCTAATTGACAAATAGTGTTTTACATATGTAGTATTCCTAAAGAGTAAACTAAAGAAAATGGACAAAGTAATCTAAGAAGTGAAAACAGGGCTCCATATTTTTCCGTGGTTTGATGATTTCATTTTCATTTGAGAGCAAATCTTTTTGAAATGTATTTTTAGCTTTTTTTCCTCCACGTTTATTAATCAAATGGTTCTGTTTCTTTGGAAATATTTCTGGTGTGTTGACTGGTCTTTCAGCTTTGATGTTGGGCAGACAGAAACATCTGGAGAAAGGTGGACTAAGCTTCTTGGATATAAGCTGTCCATAAATATGAGAGCAGTGAGAATTTCTCCAATTAGAGTGTAAAGCTAGAGTGTATTTTTTAATGTAGTAGTTACTTTGAGGCTTCTGATTGATGGGTAACTAATTTTTCATCTAAAGATACAAAAAAAAGCTTAATAACAATAAAGAACGTTAGTCTCTCTCCCTTTCTCTCTGTAAAATGGTGATTAGTAAGAACATAATTAAGACTAGTTATTATTATAAATAAAATCTCAAAATCATTCTTGCCTACCCTTCTTGGTCTTATAGTTAATACAGAAAAGCTGTGGATCTTGTTCGGATTCTTCCACTGAGCCTCACAAACCAATTACTCCCGGACAATTGAATAAATCTGTTATTCCTACCACCAACTCTACCATTTCTGGGATTCTCATTCCCACAGTGCAAAAGTAGAAAGTGTGTAATATAAATTGTGTCTATTTTTCTCTGCCCCTTCACAATGCTTTGATGGCTGGGAAGTATCCAAGTTGGAATCTGAACCCAATCAAAGCTGACTTGAGAGACACCCCCACCCTCGCCCCATCCAACACCAGCATCCTCTACACGTGGTTTTAGCATAGGCCTCCGCATGGTTTCCTGGCTCCCAGCTTCCCTGTAAACAGTGTGACTCGGGTAGGATGTGTGTGGCTAGGGCTTTGTTAATCCCCACTAAAGCTTGTCTAAGGAGCTTCTTACCTTGTTCCAATGGTGTGCTAGAGGTCCTCCAATCCATGTAAACACAGATTTAGAATTTATGGGCAGGTATTCAGTTGTAAGAAAGATGCTTTATCTGACTGATAAATGAGTCCTCTACCTGGGTTTCCAAAAGAATGGTATTATTAAAAAAAAAAAAAAAAAAAACCACTTGGAAATCACAGAAATTCCATGGATAAGCTTTTACTGCTTGATTTTATCTCCAATCTTTAAAACAAGGCTGAGGCCCTGGCTGATGTGGCTCAGTTGGTTGGGCATCTTCCCATGCCATGAAAAGGTTGCTGGTTCAATGCCTGGTGAGAGTACTTGCCTGGGTTGAGGCCTCAATCCCCAGTGTGTGGGTGGAGGAGAAGTATAGGAGGCAGCAGATCAATGTTGTGTTCTCACATCGATGTTTCTCTCCCTCTCCCTTCCTCTCTCTCTAAAAACCAATAAAAAATAAAATAAGGCTGAGAGCTTAGCAGAAATTGATGAAAGAGTTCTTTTCTGCTTTTTACGAATTACATTTGATATTCAAATGTTTGAAGTTTTTCTGACTCATGAGTACTTATGGCACCAGTGGATAATTTGTCTAGGGTGACAAAATCCATGTCAGGGAAAAGGGTTATTTCATTATATAAGTTGAAAGGTACTCATATTATCCACTGTCTGAATTATATAAATATTTTGTTACCTGTATATAGATCAAAAATTGTTCTTGATAATAGCACATAATTAATTCAGATCTTATTTTCACATTTATTATCAAATTTAATGATTTAAAGCTAATCTTTTCCACCTTCATTAGTACTTATCTATAATTGGCAATAACTTTAAATTCACAGATGTGTTTAAATTACTTCAAAAAGGACCTGGATCAACCAGTATTGGCATGAATCAGTGGTTTGATTATTTTAAACTAATTCAAAAACTGGATAACTTATATCTAACACATTAGATATAAGTTACCAATTTGGAAATTTCACTCTGAAGTTAATTAGGGGCCCATTTTTCTTTCTTTTTTTAAATTTCTTTATTGATTAAGGCAGCGTTTTTCAACCGCTGTTCCGCGGCACACTAGTGTGCTGCGAGATGTTGCCTGGTGTGCTGTAGGTGCAGACAAGACAAGAATTTTATAATTTTTCACTATTTTGTTTACTTAATATTTCATAATAAAGTAATTATAAAATACTTTCTTTGTGTTTAATTGATTCCTATTCAAGAGAATTACTTTATATATAGTCAATATAGGCACAGAGTTAAATTTTTTAACATTTTCTAATGGTGGTGTGCCTCGTGATTTTTTTCATGAAACAAGTGTGCCTTTGCCCAAAAAAGGTTGAAAAACACTGAATTAAGGTATCACATATTTGTCCTCAACCCCCCATTCCAATCCCCCACCCCTCCCCACTCATGCCCCCACCCTCCTATTGTTCTTGACCACTGGTTAGGCTCATATGTATGCACATAAGTCCTCCCTTTTATCCCCACCCTCCCTTTGAGGTCCAACAGTCTGACCCATGGCTTCTTATCTCTAGGTCTGTACTTGTTCATCAGTCTATGTTGTTCACCATTTCCCCTAGATGAGTGAGATCATGTCCTACTGGAAATCTACTTATAAGAATAAAAATTGAGACAAACAATAATCGTTATGCTGAAAGACTTATGAATCAGTCTGTAGTGAGTTTCTTTCTGGGCCAACAGTTCTTTTGAGACCCAATTTCAATGTCAAAAAGTTTGTTATGTGTACATGTCAGCAATGATATTTCAGTTCTGGATGGTGGACAAATGGTGGTAATGCAGGTCCAACCCTCTCTGGTTTTGTCCTGGGAAACCTGCAGTGATACACAGCTGCTGACTGCAAGGCATAGTCAGCATCTTCCATCTCTGGACTGCTTCTCTTCTGTCTTCATGGTTGGAGTAGTCCTGTCAATTCCTCTCTGTTGCCAGAATCCACATGGTCTCAAAGTTGTTTTCTGAAAATATACAAAATCTTTGTGTTGTTTTTGTTTTGTTTTTTCATCTCATTTTAAACTTCCCACTTAATACCATTAGTGCCCAGATAAATATAGATTTTAAATTTCTGCACATATGATGCTTATAAGGCAGCTTACAGCACAATGGCTACTATGACTTGATTCTTAAAGTTCCAAGACTCCTGAGAAAAGTAGGTGAACTAGATGTTCGCAGGCTACCTTTAAAAATAAGTGCAAGGAGAAACGCTAGCACCCAGTTTTCCCCAGCCTCTAAAATATGCAGTCACCGTTCTTCTGTGCCTACACTAAACACAAACACATGCTTCGGAGAACACTTCATCCCCCCCCCCCCCCCCCCCCGTTTTTCATATTCAGAAATAGGCAATGATCTGGTAATAGCAGCATATCTTAAATTAAACCCAGCACAGTAGAATTGCTCAAATACAAAATGACTATGCAAGAACTGGATGACTCTGGAAAATCATTTTTGGTAACAATTAATGAATCACTGTGTCCTTGGCTTTAGGGATGTAAATAATACTACTTTTGAAAACGTAGTTAATGCATTAGATATAAGTCTCTGAACCTAAGACTTTTCCTGGGTCTTTTACATCCGTCTTGGTTGCAGGGCAGTGGTGGTATGTGCCCGTTTAATAGTATAAGACTTTGCTACGAATATAAAGAAAACCAGTACAGTTGCAGGCAGTGGGGGGAGAGGAGGGAGAGCACAGAGGAGGTGATTAGAATGGGTGTAAAAGCAGACTTCTCACTCTGAGGATTCTAAGAAACATTGGCACAGATACGTGTTTTTAAAACACGTCCTTAGGCATCCAAGTGAGATCCCAGGCATCCGAGAGAATATTTATGAATCTCATGATGGACAGCTAGATACATCCCAAGAGTGATTTCCAGGTAAATGACTTGACTAGTCTTTCTGGATAGCTGAGGCAATGAAACTTGACTAGTCTTTCTGGATAGCTGAGGCAATGAAAATGATCTTAGCAAAGGTCTGTGGCAAATTAGACTGTTTGACTTTCAAATCAAACAATAAGCACTCACACTGAACATAGTTGTTGTTTTTTTCCTCCTTGAAAAGCATTGTATGTTTAGTCTTTTTTTTTCTTTCTTTCTTTCTTTTCTTTTTTTTTTTCTTTTATTTTTTTGTTTTTTGTTGTTGTGGTTGTTGTCAAATAACTACATTCTTTCCACCTGATGAAACAAGAGTCAGATGAAGCAAACATCCTAATAAGGTACAATGGATTTTTTCAAAATATGGGAACCTACCGTTAGCAAGCCAGGATCAGACAGTGGTGGAGAATTTACAAACCAAAGTTCAGATACATAAGAGAGAATAAGAAACTTTTTCAGAAGCTCAATTAGATGCATGTTTAAGATAGAGGCTCTGAGATCCCTGTATTGGAAACATATAAGAGCAACTAAATAAATGGTTTGAAAGAGTCACTAAAAATATGACTATTTGGGGCCCTTCTAAACCCTCACCCTCACTCAGAACCTTCCAAATAATCAAATGTGGTACATTTGCTTTATTAAAATTTAAAGCATCAATCCACTTTGTTGAAAATAGGAAGAATGATATATACTTGATAGCACTGATTGGAGGACTTGAGAAATATACCAGATAATATTGATAGAATTGATATTTTTTATTAAGACAAAGAGTGAGGTATTAGGTTGTGAGAAGAGACATCAATATTAAGATATGTCATGGAATACAATTTAAGTTGAATAATACCATGAGAAAAACACCAAGCAAAACCATGTGATCATAATTACATAAAAGTGTAATTTTATTTTTTTTTTAAAGTAGAGAGTA